CAGGTTTCCCTTTGTTTTCCCATTTTTGGGGGCCACAGGCCCGAGGAGCCAAAGGTCCTTGCTGGATGAATATTTAATAGTCAGAAGCACTTTCTAAAATGGAAAGATGGAGCTGGGCCCAGGAGGCCCGAGGGGATGGGGCGGGGTGGGGCAGGTGGCGGTGCCCTCTGTGCCCTCACCCCCACACCAGCCACTGCTTCCTGCCCTGCGGGGAGCAGAGGAGACGTGCAGTGCGTGACTGTGAGGGGCGTCCTGGGACCCCCTCTCCAGAGAGCTTTCGGGAGGGACTCAGGCAGGCAGGGCATGCCGGGGCGACGGAGCTGTAGGCAGACTGTGGCAGAGGCAGGCTGGCGTCCTGGGCCGGGTGGGGTCCTGGGAAGTGTTCTCAGGCCGCACTCCTACCTGGATCCGGAGCCAGGTGTGGGGTCCACGGCTGAGAGGACAGCCAAGCTCAGAAAGGAGTGGGCCGGGGACAGGACACCTGTGGGGTCCTCGTCTGGGCCTCTCCTCCCTCAGTGCCGCGGGAGGACCCGCCGTCTGCCGGAGGGGCCGCTTGGGGACCTGGCATCCAGGAGGGTGGCAGGCCCTGGCCTCCGTGGGTGCGGTTTGCCCTGGTTGGCCAGCTGCCCGGTGGGGGTCAGACATGCACCCCTGCGTGGGCCCTGGGCACCCTTCCCCGCCTGCACCACCCCTGGGCCCCGACAAGCGCTCAGCCCTGTGGAACCCCGAGGCTGGGGTGGATGGCCTCTGGGCACCTGGCTGCCGACCCTCAAGGGCGGCCCCCATCCCAGCAGGCCTTGCTTCGGGGTGGCGCCAGCACCCGAGGGCTCCTTGTGACACAGCCCTTGAGAATGCCATGCTCAGGCCCGGCCCTCTTGCCAGCTGATTCACTATCAGCTGCCCCTGCCCTGGCAGCAGCCAAGGTCCCATGGTGACTCTGAGCCAGAGCCCGGGGTCCAGGCAGCTTTGAGCTACAGCCGCCGTGTGGTGGGCACCGCGGGCACGTGCTGGCCGACCTGCACCACAGGACACGTGGGGCCGCGGCCCAGCACCTGCCTGGCCACTTCCAGCCAGAGGTTGGGCAGGTGGAGGTGCTGGGAGCTGAGGCAGGCGGGCAGGGCCGTGCTCAGAGCCCTTCCCTACTGGGTCCCGGGTGCCCAGCACCGGGCCAGGGCTGGTGGCGCTGTCCGTCGTGGGTCGGGGTGGGCTGGGGGAGTCCAGGGCCTGAGCTGGGAGGGCAGCCTGACCGAGCTGGCGGCATAGACACAAGCCTGGAGTCAGGAGGGGGCCCCTTGTGGGGGGAGCGGGCACGGGCTGTGGGGGAGGGAGAGGGGGTGCGGCTGGAGGAGAGGTCCTCTGGCTGGGTGGGGTGCGGGCCCACCAAGCCTCTCCAGTTGGTGCAGGGCCAGCTGGGAGGCTGTGGGGTTTGGGAGGCTGGGGGCGTGGCTGGACTGGTTTGGGGCGCCCAGGCTCAGGAGGGAAGGAGGTGCTGGTGACCCTGCTCCTCCTAGCCAGACTCAGCCTCTGGGGCCCGCTGAGTCAGCCCCCTGGGCCCTGCCCCGGGGGAGGCGACAGTCTGGTGGGGTGTCGGGCAGTGAACAGAGCTCCCAGGTGAGGTGAGAACTCCTGGGCGTGCAGTGGGTGAGGTCACTGGTCACCTTTCCTGGCTCACTGTACATAGAGTCATCGTGACCGTTAGGACTTTGGGGGGTGGCGAGCAGGGGCCTGGGTGCCGTCCCTCGGCCGGGTGGCGGCAGACGGAGCCTCTCACGCTTTCCACAGCAGTGCTCCCTGCCCTGGGCTGGCCGGAGCTTCCACCTTGGAGGCCTCTGAGTGGCCAGGGGCCTGTCCCTTGCTGATGGCCCTCTCAGGCCACCCTGGCTTCTTATGTCCGGGCGGGGGGCCCGGTGCTCAGCAGCTCTCTTCTGTGCCTGCTGCCGGCAGCCGCCATGGCTGACCTGGGCCTGGCATCCTGGGCAGCGTTGTGGGTGCAGATGCCCCCATCTCAGCAGCCGCCGTGGCTGACCCAGGCCTGCTGTGCTGGGCAGGGTCGTGGGTGCAGATCGTCCCGTCACCACCTTCCCTGGGGCTGGGCCGGAACCCTCATGCTCGGGCCCCTCAGCGGTGCGGGCCTGCTCCGACCTGCTTGTGGCGTGTAGGTGTCCGCAGCCAGCCGGGCCCCACCCCACAGGGCCGTGGGGCGCAGGGCGGGGCGGCCCTAGGACAGCAGATGTGCAGTAGCACAGCCTGTGCCGTCCTGCCTGGGCCTGCCGGGCTCTGGAGCTGGGAGGGGCCTCGGAGATGGAGCTGCATCCCCCACACCCCGCCCGCCGGGGGCTCTGAGTCCTGGGGGATGGCAGGGGGAGGCGACAGGAGGCCAGGCATTCTGAACTCCTCCTCGAGACAGTAGGCTTGGGGGCGTGTTCCTTTGTGAGTGATTGGCGGCAGGGAGTGGGGGGGAGGCGTGGCTAAAAATGCTGGTTCCGGGGTCCGGCCTGCCACAGCCAGCCCACGGAGCTTTGAGCAGGGAGGAGTGACCAGAGCCAGGCTGCCCTCCAGGAGCACAGGCAGGTGGGCGGTGGCCGAAGCCACTTGCCCTAAGGTCATGTGGGTGGGCTCAGTCCAGCCCTGCTCTGGCCTTGGTGGCCCTGGCTGTGCCCTGTCACCCGAGGTCCCCAAGGCAGCAGAGATCTGTGCCCATCTGAAGTCCCTCCTGGAAGGGCACCCACGGGGAAACTGAGGCAGAGGGCCCTGTCTGACATCCGAGTCTTCACAGCAGGACTGGACCGGTCCGGCCTGGGCCAGGCTGGGCCAGGCGTGTGATGGTGACTCAGACGTCCCCGTGCTGGGCGGTTTCCTCTCGCCGTCAGCTGCCCCGGCTGGGGGGGCTCTCTGGGGGAGGGGCGGGGCCTGGCCCAGCTCTAGCTTGTTGGGGGTGGCCCGCCCGCTCCCTCTTGTGGGGCTCTGGACCAGCCTGGGAGGGGCCTGAGGGCGGGGCAGCAGAGGGAGGGGCCTGGGAGGGCAGCTGCCAGAGCCCGGAGCCGGGCACCTTCACTTCTGGGCAGGTTGGCAGGACGTCACCCCGGTAAGCGGCTGCAGCTGTGTTCTGTCCCCTTCCCGGGTCTAGACCCGGGCACCCGCCCACCTCTCTACCCAGCAGGCCTGTGAGGGCCAGGCCGGGGGCTCAGGGGCGGGGGTCAGAGCTAGGCTGGGCGCCTCCCTGTCCCTGTGCCCTGTCCCAGCCCAGACCCCAGCTGATGTGGAAGGGGCGGGTGTGTCAGCTGAACAGCAATGCGTCTCAGTCCTGGACAGACAGGCCCCTGAGGCTGGACCAGGTGGCCCGGGGGGTGTTTTCAAGTGATGGCCACGGCACACCCTGTCCTTGTTTGGCGTGCTGGGGACCCCAGGGACTCGTGGAGGGCGGCTCAAGGGGGCCTGCCTACCTGTAGGTGCCAGGTGGGCGTGGGGCCCGTGGTGGTTGGCTGCACTGGGTGCAGTGCTGGCGGTCCAGCTCGGAGAGATAGGCGCAGGCCACTGGTCCCGTCGGGGCTGGACGGGAGTGTGGGCCGCTCCTTTGGCTGCTGGGTCCCTTGGAGTCGGTGGGCTGGCATGCCCGCGCCTCAGCTTCTCCAGGTGCGAAGGAGACGCACTGCACCCCCCTGCGGCCCCTCCACGCCTGGACGTTAGCCGTGCGCGCCCCGCCCTTCCCCTCCGCGGCCAGCATGCACCACGCGCCCTCCGAGTGCTGGACTCTGAGTGCTTGGTGAGCAGAGCGTTCCAGAGACCAGGGACCAGGGGCCGGGCAGTGGCCAGAAGTGAGGGCGGGGTGGCTAGTGAGTCTGTGAGCTGGCAGGGAGACAGTGTGGGGGCTGGGCAGGGGTCGGGGGAGAACCTGGGTGTGGGCTACCAGGGTCTGGGGTGCAGACAGCAGCAGTGAGGGCGGAGGCCGCCCTGTTGCTGGGCCAGGAGTGGAGAAGCTCCGAGGCCGAGCTGACCAGGCACCAGGGGCTTTGGGGGGTGCCGTGGGGGAGGCTGCAGGGGGGCCTCCTGGCTTTATCTGGGCAGTGGGAGGGGGCGGTGAGGAGCCCTCATGCCCAGATATGGGGGCCAAGGCTGGTTCTTTCCCCTCCCGGAGCCTCGGGAGCACAGCAGGAGCCCGGCCAGCCGTGGTTCCCCCGAGAAGCCCCCGGGAAGGTGGGCGGGCTCTCAGCTGGCGGCCTGGCCTCTGAAGGTCTCATGACCAGTCAGCCCAGCCCAGCGCTTTCCTCGTGAGGTTCCAGGAAGGGGTGAGGCCGAGCATCTGTTGCCCGGTGGGCGCTGAGCTCCACGCCCAGGGGCTCCACTCCCACGGTGTCGGGCCAACTGTGTGCGGTGCTCAGGAGGTCCCAGGCCCCGACACCTGGCGCTTGGGGGGGTCCCGGGCCCCGACCCCCGGCGCCTGAGCAGGAAGATGTGCACACACGCGCGCGCGTGCACCGAGGCGGCCTCTCAGGTCACGGTCTACGGCCCCTCTTCACGGCTCTCCTCCCTGCCCGTCTCGCAGTCCCTAGTCCCCCATTGCCTGGTGACATGCAAACTCCCCCACCACACCGGGCCCCACCTGGGCCCAGCTGTATGCAAACTGGGGTTTGTTTAAGCAAAATGCCCCATCCACGAGGCCCTGCTCTGGGCTCCCTAGAAACCCCCACTTGGCTGGTGCTGCTGGGAGGAGCCCCACGGGCAAGTCATCCTGGGCATAGCCCCCGCCCTGCACCCCTGCCCCTGGTGCCTGGCGTGCCTTGCGCCCACTCCTCGGTCTGCCCCTCTGCGGACGCTTCCTGGAGGATGAGCCCGCGAGGACTCCAGTTCCTGCAGTGCAGCCGTCTTACTGGGGTGCTGCCTGCCCCTGGCCCACCCCGAGTCCCCAGGCCCTCCTCCCTGGAGTGTCCGAGGCCTGACGAGGTGGCTTTTGCGGTGAGGGAGGGTTGGGGTCGGGGCTGGATGCCGTGAGGGCGAGGGCGAGGGCTTTGGGGAGGCGCCAGGTGCCAGCAGCCAGACCTGCTGGCCTGGCTCTGCCTGTCGCCTCCGCGGCCTCTGTAAAATGGGGCTTCGGTGACCTTATTGTCATTAGCCATTATCTGAGGTGCCGCTGGGGCCGGCCCATCTGCAGAGCCTGTCTGAGGCGCTGCGGGCTGAGGGGAGGGCGGAGGGGCGCCCTCAGGACAGGGCCTGGCAGCCGGATGCTCCAGGGACCCCTCCCCCCGCTGCGTGAGGCCAGCGCTCAGCAGGCAGGGTCTCCTCCTTCCCGTTTGTGTGCCCTGGGCCAGGTGGGGCTCTGCCTTAAGGGGCACAGAAGGACCCAGAGCCTAAAGCTGTAGCCTGGCAACTTCGCAGCCGTGGCCTCCTCCCGGGGTCGTGGCCTCCCTGAGCCCACGTGCTCTACATCCCCAGGTGTCAGCCTTGTTGTGACGAGGGGGTGCCTGTGGGAGTGGGGCTGGCCCTGCGTGTTCCCAGCCAGGGTGTGCCTTGGATCCCAGCTGCCAACACCCTCCCCGCCCAGCCCTCGACACCCACAGGACTCCTGTGGAGCAGATGTGGAGGCGCAGCTTCTCAGGGATGGGGGTCTTCCACCGTGGTGCCCCCAGCAGAGGCGCTGCTCGCAGGCCCAGTCATACCCCGCCAGGGTCCTAGAGCCTGTCCCCGGTCAGTGCGGACCCCGCCCCTTGGGGACTGGCCTGCCTGCCTGCCCAAGGGGGCGGTTGCTGGAACGGGTTTTGTTGACTTACTCAGACGCGCTGCGGAGGCTGGGGGCGGGGCGCTGGGTTGCTGGGCGGGCGGCAGCTTCCAGACCGCCCGCACCCCTCGGCAGGGCCCCTCCACCGGCCCCTCCACCGACCCCCGGGGCTGACACAGGGGCACCGACTCCACACCCAGCCCCGCCCCTGCTGGCCCGGCCCGCCTCGGCGTCCTCCTCGCTCACCCACCTTGCACCCACTTCGGGGGCGGGAGGTGAGGCGGCAGTGGAGGGGTCACGAGACGGAGGAAGTGGGGTCAGCTTCCTGCTGGCCTCCAGCTTCCCCTGGGCGACGTGGTCCGGGGTCCCCTGCGTAGCCCCTGCCCCGCACAGCCTTCTGGGTGGGCAGAGTGGCCCCCGCACGTCCGGGGCAGGGCACGGCTCAGACAGGACACAGGCTTGCTCAGGGTCACGCAGCCAGACCCGCTCTCCTGCCAGGACTGGCCTTGGGGACAGGGACACGTCCCACCCCGCTGGTCACCAGCAGTGCGTGTTCTGGGGTCCGTACTGATTCTCTGACTGTTTAACACAATGAGGGGGGCTCGGGCCTGGCGTGTGGGAGGCTGTAAATAGGGGTTTGACGGTTGAGTCATCACAGAACCATTCAGATTGTTTCTCCCCCGCAGGCATGGCAGGGTGTTCCTCTGGGAATGTGTCCAACTCATCTGAATTTTCGGATTTATTGGCATAAAGTTTATAATTTCATTTCAATTTTATGTAGAATCAAACTTCTTTTCTTGGTAAAAGGCATGAACCGTGAGCGCGCAGCTTGATGCATTTTCCCAAAGTAGCCACACCTGTGGGAACCGTGGGAGGCCCTTCCCCTGCCAGCCCTGTCCCTCCCCAAAGGCCTGTGCCGGCGAGGCAGCGCCGGACGGCGATCGGGCAGAGTGCGGCCGGCCGTTGTCGGAGCACCGGGTGCGCCCGGCCGCTTTGCCTCAACGTCACGTGTGTGCAGCTCATCCGCGTCACATGGGTGCACAGGGCGGCGCTCACTCCTTAGCCCTGCGTGTAACACGCCACGGGACAGGCACCCGCCGCTCACGTCCACTCCGCTCTCGGTGGACACGTGAGCCTCCCTGGTTTCTGGGCACGGCAGTAGTGCCAGGTGGACACTTATTTTTAATTTTAATTTTAATTTTTTTAGGCGAGGCAACCCTTGGTTGACCTCACAGATTGCAAGGACCTTGTCAGCGTACAATCCCTTATTTGTTATTTTTTACGCCTGCAGCACCCAGTCTTCCTAGGTGGTCTCCCACCCAAGGACCGACCAGGCCCGACCCCGCTTAGCTCCCGAGATCAGACGGGATGGGGCTCGTTCAGGGTGGCGTGGCCGTAGACAGGCGGACACTTTCGTGTCCTCCGGTGCGGTAACCTAAGGCTAAGCGTGCTGGGCGCCTCTCCGGGTGCTCGCTGGGCAGTCGGGTGTCTTGATCGCCTTTCCAGAGTCTTCCCACCTGGTTTCCTGTCCGGCTGGCTGTGTCGTCCGTGGGGGAGCAGGAATTCTCCGTACGCGGGGAGGAGGTTTGGGGGCGGCACTGCTCGTCCGTCCCCCAGTTCGTGGCTGGCTTCTGCCTCCATCGGTGGCGACCTTTCCCGAATGGCTCCTCATTTTCATGTCCAGCAGGTTGCCGGCCGTTTCGTTTCGGGCCAGCTTTTCGTGTCTCGGTTAAGAATCGCTTCCCTCGCCCCAGAGTAATTTTCATGTATCTCTGGAAGCTCGATTATTAAGCCGAGGCTCGCTGGCCGATGGGGTTCAAGCGTCCGCCCTGCTGCTGTGTGGGGCTGCTGGTCTCTGACGGCCGCCGAAACCCCCGCTGGACCCATGGCTGGGTCTGTTTGTCCTCTCGGCCCTGCCGGCCTTCACTGCGGGGTCTCTGCGTTCCGTGAGCCGCGGTTCGCTGACCTAGGTTTGCTAAAAGAGGTCACCGAGAGGATGTGTTTATTAGGATTCCGTTTTATGACCGTCTGCTGACCCTCGAGCTGTACGCGGGCAATCGGACGCCGCCCCACCGGCCCGTGGGCACCATGGCCACGGCCAGCCCGCGTGGGCAGTGCGCTGCTGGGCCATCTGCACGGACACGGGGCTGAGCTCAGTCAGGACCTCTGTGTGAGCCAAGATTTCTCCGGGCGGAGGGGACAGCTACGGGTCTTGCGGTCACAGAAGACCAGTCTCGTATGTAAGTGCCCCGCGGGTGAAACCTGCCCGCGGCCAGCCTGGCGTGACCTGCCCTTTCTCTCGTCGCTCCTCGTCCGGGCCACGTGGCGCTCGCACCGGGAGCCCCCGAGGTTGCCGATGAGCAGTTTGTTATGTATTTTTCCCCGAGGAATGACGCCCGTCTCAGCATCACGAACGGCCGGTCGGTTCCTGCGTGCTGGATGTTCCTCTTTGCTTTCGCTGTAAAGCGGCTGCGTCTCCGTGGTCCTTTTCCCGTAGACGGCGCGTGGCCGGGTCTGCGTCTCCGTGCACCCGACACCGTCCGCCTTTGGACTGGAGTTTTGAACCCCGTTGTGTTTAAATGTTTTTGGCTCGGTTGGTGCGAGTCCAGTGACGTCGCTTGCCGCTTTCCCTGTCAACCCGTCCTTCGCTCGTCCTTCCCTCTCTCCCTCCCTTGCTTTAGGATTCATTAAATATAGTTACATGTGTCACCGCTCAATAATGTGCATTACACGTACGTCGTGCACACTCGCGCGCAGTGTGTATCGGGATTCCGTTTCCTGGCTGACGGGCTGTGGGCCGCCAGGACGGAGCCGCTGCAGACGCCCCGGGCCGCGTTCCGCGCAGGGCGGCTGTCCCGGGCGCCACTCACACCGTGTCCGACGCTACCTTTATTGTTTTGGTTTTGCACGGTTCATTACCTGTTCAAGCTCTAAGGACGTATAATTTCCATGCCGTAAACCCCACCCACTGACGATGTACCACGTCGACATCCTTCGTAACTTCGTGGAGAGTCGTGCAGCCGTCCCCACAGCCCAGTTCTAGGACGCGGCCGTCACCCTCCGGCCCTCTCGAGCGTGTTCGTGGCCCACGCCCGCTCCCACCACTCACCCCAGGCAGCCTTTGCTTAGTTCTGGTAAAACACAGACGCACACCCGTCGGCACATCCTCCCCTGCCGTCCTTCGGGCTACGGCTGCCAAATGTGTATCGCATCTCCATGCGTCATGATCCCACAACATGGCACAAGTCTTGGCCTGTGCGCCGACCCCGGGCTGCGGGAACGCAGGCCGGCTCCCCGGTCGCCCCGTCCCTGCAACGCGGGCGTGGCCGCGGGGGCGCGCGTGGCCCGCAAAGCCACATCTGCCGTCTGGCCTTGTACAGGAAAAGTGTGCCGACCCCGCTTTGTAAAATCGCGTGTCTTTTAAAGAAGTTCAGAGATGGAATGAGGAGAGAGAGACGTGTCCACAGCGTGTTTTATGTCTTCCCGCCCGTTTCCCGTCTCCTTCATGCTTTGTTTTCCCTGTGTTTCTTTATCTGCGGGAGTCTCTACTTCGCCTTCATTTCGAAAGGCCGTGGCCTCGCGGCTCGCGGCGCTTCCCCTCGGGCACGTTAGAGGGACCGTCCGCCTCCTCCGAGCTTCCGCGGCGTCGGCGCCGGCGCCGGCCGCACCGTGGGCCCTCGCGGGACGGGGCACTCTTCTCTCGTCTTCCTTTTCTCTGAGTCGTGTCCACTGTGTCGGTCTGGATCTCTCTGTCCCGTTGGGGTGTGTCCAGCTTCTCGGACCTGTTTCCGCCGTTATTTCTTCGCGCGACGCTGGTATTCGCGGGGCCGGCGCGCAGATCGCCCGGGCTCCGTGTCACCAATGGAAACTGGCCGATTTCCATGAACCCACCAGGTCGTCGGCTCTTTCTCCTGCCACTTCTGTTCCGCTGTCCAATCTCTAGAGTACATTTTCAACTCCGGAACAGTTACTGGGGATTTTTTAAATAGTTTCTCTTCAGGCATCTTTCATCGATGCCTTGTATTTCTGATTAAATCTTTAAACATGTTTCCTTTAGTTTTTTGAACACACTCTAAGGCCCGCCCAGCGCTCTGTGTGGCGTGCAGCCCCTGCGGCCCTCGGGGACAGTGTGCCCGGCTCTGCTCCTGGGCGTGGCTCAGCCCCTGCGGCCCTCGGCGACAAGCCCGGCTCTGCTCCTGGGCGTGGCTCGCGCTCCCTCGCTTCTTCGCGTGTCTCGGAATTTGTGTCGCGTGCTGGACGTTCCGTGCCGGCTGCTGCAGCAGCTCTGGACTCCAGCTTCCCCTCGGGGTCCCGGCGCTTGCTCTGTGGCTGTGTTTGCCGACTTTCTTGGACCAAATCCGCGGAGTCTGTCCCTCCGTCTGGGCTCCCCCGGTCCTGGCTCACGGCCCTCTGACCGGTTGTCACAGCCTCCCTGGCCCAGGGGCTGTGGATTCCGCCCCCAGAGCCAGTGTCCAGGACGGGGCAGCGCCATCTCCGTGGTGCACACAGTCCTGGCCCCCGGCCCCCCGCCCCCGGGTCCCCGCCCGCCGGCACTGCTCCCCTAACTCGGCCCCTCTCTCTGCAGTGTCTGGCCGGCAGCTGCAGCCCGAGGAGCCGGATGCAGAAAGTGAGGAGGAGCGTTCTGTAAGTGAGCCCTGCGGGCGCGTGCCGGCCCCCCACCCCACCCCCCAGGCCTGGGCCGGGCCTACGTGGCTGAGGGTGACCTGGCTCTCTGCTCTCGCCAGGTGACCGAAGGGCCTGTGGATGAGATCATTCGACCGCGGCCACAGGGCTCGTCACCCGTCTACGAATGTGCCGCTGAGGGCCCCGGCTTTGGACTCCCGGTAAGCCTGCCGCACAGAGGCCCACAGGCTAAGGGAGGCTGGGCATGGGGCTGCGGGCGGCCGTGTCTCCTCCTGCGTCACCCTGTGTGGGCGCCCCCTGCCCTGCTGCCCACTGGGCCACAGCCGTGCCCCCTAGGCCGTCCTCTCTGGGACTCTCCCTTCAGCTGGCCGAGACACAAGCAGAGTGGCCATGTGGGTGCCCGTGGGAGCCGACCTCACGCTCCTGTGTGCGATGGGGCACGGGAGGCGTGCACACGTGTGCCATCGCTGCAGAGGGGACACAGAGTCCCCACAGCTGAGGACCTCAGCTCCCCCTGCACACAGCAGCTCTCTGGCGGTTCTTGGCCTTTGAGCTGGGGGCCCCTGGCCTCCCAAAGCCCCTCCCATGCCCTGGGCTGGAGCAGCTGGGTCATCCCCATGTCTGTGGTTGTAGGAAGACACAGCGGGCAGGCAGGCCCCCTCGGGGAGACGGAGATCCTGGTGGAAGCGGCAGTCAGGGGACCCACAGGCGTTTTCCAGGATGAGTCATCCAGAGGTGAGTGCGGCAGGAGCCCAGGGTCCGGGAGGCGGGCAGGGTGCCCCCGTGCCCTGCGGAAGGGCGTGCCTGTCCCCTTGTCTGGCCTGAGGTGGCAGAGGCTTCGGAAGGCTGCTCCAGGCTTCCCCCGAGACCCCTGCACCCTACGATGGAGACCCAGACTCCTGGCCAGGGAGCCTCGGCACATAGAGCTCCGCGTCCTCAGCTGCACACAGACCACGGAGGGCGCTGGGCGCTGCGGCCTGCCCCCCGAGGCAGCTGTTCTGTCAGCGGCGGCTCTGCCCTCGCCCTCTGTCACCTGGATGATGGGCAGGACACTGGCGTCCTCGTCCTCGGGGGAGGGAGCGCCCCAGCTCCGACGCCCACGCTGGGACAGGTAGGCTCACCGGCCCCGATGTGCTTCTGCTCCGCCCATGCAGGAGGCGACAGAGGTGACCCTAAAGACGGAGGTGGAGGCTGGAGCCAGCGGCTACAGCGTGGCCGGTGGTGGGGGCCAGGGGATCTTCGTGAAGCAAGTGCTGAAGGGCTCCTCGGCCGCCAAGCTCTTCAGCCTGAGAGAAGGTGCCATGGCCGCCCCCGCCCCTGGGAGCCCCGTGTTCCCTGTCATGACGGCGGGGGGGGGACAGGAGAGGGCAGGGCCACACGGGAGCGCAGGAGGACCAGCCACCCCGCTGGGTGTTCCCCACGGGAAGCGGGTGGGCTCCTTTACACCCAAAGCTCCATGTGGGGGGGGGGTCACTCCCCTTCCACGCCCGTCACCGCGGCAACTGGGAGTGAGGGGCACTGAGGCCGAGGCCCACTCTGTCTGTCTAGGCGACCAGCTGCTCAGCGCAACTGTATTCTTTGACAACATTAAATACGAAGACGCTCTCAAGATCCTTCAGTACTCGGAGCCGTACAAAGTTCAGTTCAAACTCAAACGGAAACTTCCTGCCCCAGGGGACGTGGAGCGGGCTGCCCGCGGCGCTCAGGGGACCCCAGGGCACACTGACACACAGGTGAGGCGGCCAGGCACAGCCGAGGCTGGGGTGCCCACCCCCAGACGCTGGGGCCAGGGCCACCAATGTCCTGTGCTGCTGCCAACGAGTCCACTGCCCTGTGTTCCAGGACACGGGCGTGGCCGATGGCAGCACAGACACCCCCGTGAGGACGACGGACACCGATGGCGACCAAGAGAAACTCCTCTCCCGGCCCGGGGAGGGCAGGGGCAGGCGGCCCCAGAGGGAGCGGCTCTCGTGGCCCAAATTCCAAACCATAAAGAAGAAGCATGGGCCCGGGCCCCGGCGGTCGCACAGCTCCTCGGAGGCCTATGAGCGGGGCAAGGCACCGGCCGCGTCCCCCACGAGCTCGGACACGGAGGCCCAGTTGGCAGCGGGGGAGCAGGGGCGGAAGGCAGGCAGCCAGCGCCGGAGGAGGGTCCTGAACCTAGGCTTCAGGCTGGGCGCAGGGAAGGGCCCGTCGCTGGCAGGGCGACCGGGCGGAGGCGCCCCAGGTGGGGGAGTCTGGGCCGGGGTCCTGCAGGAGGAGGGGACCCGGGACGACAGCCGATGGGACACTGGGGCTGCTGCACACGTCGGCACAGAGGAGAGGCGGGAGGGGCTACCTGATCAGGGTGCGGAGGCGCCCGGAGCGTCCGGCCTCTCCACCGAGGGGGTCCTGGGGCGAGGGGCGGACGTGGCACCCAGACGCCGAAGGAGGACACAGGAAGGGACAGTTCTGGAGGAAGGGGTGTCCCAGGGGAAGCCCGGGGCAGGCCCAGCCCCAGGACAGGGCATGGGGGACCGCACCGAAGGGGTGCAGGCGCGGGAAACGGGGGGTGCTGTGCCGTGTCTGCAGGACACCCCCGTGGAAGGTCACATGCACGGCCACCAACCAGACTTCCGGGTCCGGATACTGGACTTGAAGGTGCCTAGGTTTGGCATTTCCAAAGAAACAGCACTTGCTGAGGAGGGAGAGATGCCCACGCCGCAGGAGGGGCCCGGCCCGGAGAGGCCGGCCGCCCGGGCCGCAGAGCAGAGGGACCTGAGCACAGACGTGAGGCCGGACACAGCTACGGCAGTGCAGGGGCCACACCGACAACGAGCAGGGGCGGGAAAGGACGCAGAAGGCCAAGGCAAGGCTCTCCGGGGCGAGGCCGAGGACGTGGAAGGAAAACCGCAAAAAGTGACCATGCTGAGGACGAGAACGGAAGTGCTGGGCTGGGCCCCGGGGCAGGACGCACGGGGAGGGGCAGAGGAACGAGGACAGAGGACAGAAGTGGAAGGAAAAAGACACAGGCACGTGACAGCCATACACTTGCTGATGGAGTCCGAGGACAGACGGGGAAGAGATGTCACAGCACACGAGGGGCCACCAACGATCACGCAAGACAGAGGACAGGGGCCAGGGGTGGACGCTGAAATCACCCTGAAAGACGAGGGACTCACTACGAGGGACAGTGGATTCACTATACTCAGGTTCCAGATGCCATCTGCGGAGCTCGAGCTCGCCGGGCCAGAGCTGGACGTGGCCCTGCCCGAGGGCGAGGCGATGCCGGGCGAGATGAAGGGCAAATCTGAAGAGGCCAGGTTCAAGATCCACTTGCCCAAGATGCAGATGCCCAGCATCAAGGTGCCCAAGGTGGACATCAAGGGCCCCCAGGTGGACATCAAGGGCCCGAAGCTGGACATCAAGGGCCCCCAGGGGGACCTCAAGGGGCCCAAACTGGACCTGAAGGGA